TCTAATTCCTCAAAGAGCTAATGTGATACTTTACTAATTAAAGAAACTTTGCAGGCATGATTAAGGATCTGAAGATGAGGGGATTATGTGGGTGGTTTCAGTGTATTTACAAGTGTCTTATGAGGGAGAGGCAAATGGTAAAAGATAGAGACACAATAAAGGAAATATTTAAGTGATACAATTGCTGACTTTAAAAATGAAAGAGGGCCACTATTCAAGGAATGCAGGAAAAATCAGAACATGGGGAAAGCATATAAAACCTCCAGAAAGTATGCAGCACTGCCTATATCCTGACTTTAGTCAGTGATATTTCCAACCCTCAGATATGATCCTTTGTGTATGTCCAAATCATTAAGTTCAAGGTAATATGTTAGACTGCAGTAGGAAATTTCTTCGGGTAATAATGTCGTTCACTGTTGATGGGCCCATGATACTATACTATCTTTTTACTGGCAATCTTAAATGGGCTATATGTTTGTAAGTAATTGCTTCATTATTTTGCAAATATCTCTTGGAGTATGTCATCTTTTATCTCCCAGGACTCTAATTGCTAAATGCTTGTGCACTTTTATTCAGCAAAGCCTATGTTTAGGAATGCATTGTACGGAATATAGCTGCAAAAGATATGCACAGTGTCTGACTAGATATTCACTATATTACAGAAAATAAAAAATAATGGGAATTTTCATAAATAGGAGACTAGGTAGACAAATTTTAGTATATCTCTGTAACACGTGAATGCCAGAAAACGCTGTGACTCATGGTCACATGCATAGTTGCATAAAAATCTAGCCTATAAAGAAGATATACATTTATATCTATACTTTAGTGTGTCTATATGATTAAATGGAGGAAGGAGCAGAAATAGAAGATATATATATATATATATATATATATATATATATATATATATAGAGAGAGAGAGAGAGAGAGAGAGAGAGGGAGAGAGAGAGTATTGTTTTTGTTTGGTACTGGGAATTGAATTCAGGACCTTGCACTTATGAGGTAGGTGATTGGGTGGCTGAGCTGTATTCCCAACACTGTATATGATATTTTTGAAGGTTAACCTTTGCTAATTGATTAGGAATAATATTATTTCTTTCCAGCTTTTCACATTTCACAAATTATCTACAAGTTTTTCATTAGTGATCAGAATAGAATTTTTAAATCAATGATAAAGTCTCCTTGTGTGATCAAAATACATGGTGAATGTTAAAATTTAAAAAATTTCAAGAAATAGCCATTAATGCTTTCTCTCACCTCAAACATTCCATCATTCTTTACACTTCCTATACTGGTTCAGGAAATCCCCTGCCATGGATGACTTTAGGAACTCTGATTAAAATTACGATGACTGCTGTAGCTGGGGCTGCTGGGCTGAATGCCATCCACAGAAAGACAGTCTCTAAAAACCATTCCAGTGTGATCTCATCCACTTGATGCAAGGGATCTGGACCACATGACTCCTGGTTCTTTCCAAGGTCAAAAGGACCATGAAATGTAAACATTTTGAATCAGTTCAGGAAATTGAGGCAGCCACAACAGTGAAACTAAAGATGCTCATGGAAGAGATCTTCCAAACTGTTTCAGAAAGATGGAAAGAATGATGGCATAAACCAACAGAGATTAGTAGTACAGATATCTTGTGTGTATCTATATATCATTATATATATAACCTTTTCCTTTCTTCCATCTCTCCTTTCCCCATCCCAATTGTTCTTTCCTTTTGAACACTTTTTTTCCCTTTTATTATCACAATATTTACTGTATATTTTGGATTTTATCACTCTTTCAGTAATTTTTTTATATTAGGGAGATAATACAATATTTACAAATGTGCATTTATTTCACTTATGAGTTTGGTCTCATTACCTCCCATTGTTTGATTTTTTTATCATTTCTTTTTATGCCAAAATTTTGTAATCTGAACAACTAGTTCTAGGATAGCAATATGCAATATATTAATTAGTGTTAATTCCCTATCATTTTTTGAAATTCTATCATTTCTATTTTTCTGTTTTACTTTTTTAAAACAACAAAAACCAGGCAAAAAAGAATGATAGTATAAATGCATTTGAAGCAAGCAGAGTATTTTGAGAAGAGTTAATGGCAATGTGTCTTTAATGTAATTTTTAAATTTAAACGTTCACTATTTAAATCATACCTCGTACACAGCATAATGAAATACTTTGTGTTACATAGAAATTATTTTCTGATTTTATACACAATTAGAATAATGATTTTTGCCTACCCAAAATTATTGGAGCTCTATCATAACATTCTCTTTTGTCTCCTCTGTCATATTCTGGATGTTTCAAGACAAAGAATATTGAAATCGCTGTCTTTCTGTGTTCACAGTGCCTTGTGGGATGCCTGTGGCATGTGTCTGCTGAAAGTTTTCTACTAAATTAAATTTATATGTGTTTAATCAAAATTTATTTGACATAAGACTTCATTCCAGACTCATAACACAACCAAATAACAGAAAAAACTAAAACAATTATGAGAAGAATTCATATAGCAGTGAAGATAAACAGCCTGATTTAAGATGCAAATGGATTGTGAATTATTTATATAGTATTCTCGTCACGGCATTGTTCATTTAAAATTTGTTTACTTGGAGAATTGGATGAATGTTAAGTACTTAGATTAAGTAAACCCTAGGATTAAGCCACTCAAAAACTATATTGAATACTGGAACAGATAAAAGAAAATAGCATATGATACTTTGGTAAAATAAAGACGAATTCATGGACCAGGTAGAAGCTTTAATTGAAGATGGGTGAGTCTGTGGAACAGAGAAAGAAACTGTAGAATGTGGCACTTTTTCTGGAGGCGTCTTGAATGAGAACAAATGAGAAAAATGATAGAGTAGAATAGAGTATGAATGTAAAATAAACACTGTAACATCAGACCATAATAAAGAGCAGAGAAGAGATAGCATGGATACATGCTGGAAGAGAAGGGTCAAAACCCCTAATTTTACTATGGAAAACTGGCTCCCTGAAGAAAAGAAAATTTAGGGAAATTCTCATTCAATCCGTGGTTCAGTGAGAATTTTTCTTTTTTTTTTTTTTAAGGGGAAAAATGATAATCATTTTTCTGAGGCACAGAACTCATAATTTTTGTGCCCTTTTTTTGAAACTTTACATCTATCACGAGGGAAATTATTAACATCCAATTATTTTGTGCATTAATATAATTACCTCTTACAATAAAATATGTTACAGATACCAGAATTATCTCCATTTTTCAGAGAAAACTGAAGCAGATAAAACTTACATAGGTTCAAATTCTGAACCTAAAGAATGTTATGCAAGAGCTCCTGCTTCTCCATTTTGTTGTGCAAACAATAATTAAGGGAAACTGCATCATGCATATATGCAAAAGAAAGCTACTACAGATTTTATTGAAATATAACCTCTAATTTTAGAAAGCATAATAGTAGTCACATTATTTCCCACCTCTGTGCTGAAATGGTAGAAAGTGTGAACCTGCAGAAATGGCAAGCTCCTTAGCTGTCTGTGGTTCCATGCCTAAAGGACAAATGGCAACTCCAGGTCTGGTATTTTTCAGATGACTGTTGGCTCTGTTCTGAAAGAGAATTCTGAATGTAGTACGGGTTAGATTGAATAGATTAGTCATCTTCCATAATAGGAAATATAAGATATGCAAAATCCATTCATTCCTCTGTTACTAGACATTCTAAAATTGCTCTAGTGACAATTTAAAAAAGTGAGATCAAGGTCAAAGAAAGGATTCCTTAAGTCTGCCATGTATCAATGTATTAATGGAAAGATTGGACTCCAAAATTTTACTTTCACACCCTGAAACATTATAAGATACTGCAGAAGCAGCAATGCTTAGATAGTTCTCCTTAGTCTACCACTAACTAGCTGTGTGATCTCTAGCAGTTTACTGGGTACTGAAAATATGGTAGAGCCATTGGTCTAGGTCATTTCTTCTTCTACACATTTGACAAAAATCCAAATTGATAAAGCATAAGTAGAAGTTTGTGATATAATCTCCAAAGACCACATCATTTGGTTATTTTAATTTGACCTTCATCACAGACACTACTGCTACCAGTCGGAATCATATTGAGACAAAAACGGGGGACAAACCTGTCATGAATATGCACTCACACTTAGACTGAAGACAAGTCCTATGTGAAAACTGTATTTTTACACATCTGTAAGGTGAGAACTTTTTAAACTGGACACAGAAAACCACAAGGGGCCAAGAGAATGACAGGCAGAGAAAGATTAGGGCAGCTCTGTTAGCAAAGGATCAAAGTATTTTAGTCTTTGAAGAATTTAAAAGACTTCAAGAAAATATGATATGTTCTCGGCATTTAAGCTACTAAACTCCATATATTTTGAAATTTGGGTTAGGGTTCAATATTTTGGAGTTATTTAGGTATTTAAAATAACTAATCTTCTATGTAAGCTTTTTTTTTTTTTTTTTTAATGAGAGATGTGGCTTTTCAACCTAGTTTAAGAGTCTTGATGCAAATTTTCTTTCCAAATGACACACCACGAGATTGCATCATAGTAAGGCAACTATGAATGATTGTTGCTTTTATGAGGGCTATTTTGATGGGGGTGGGATGAGCAGGGAATCTGTGCACAGGAGACATTGGAAACGAGAGAGATCTTTAACCATTTGTTGAGAGTTACTATATGGGGCAACATTGCTACACCCAGTTGAAAACTGGTAAAGAATTGGTGAGTGTTAAATTAAGGATCCAAACTGGAACTACAGAGTTCATATTTTTAACCTCAGTAAAGTCAGTATAGAAGGAGTATGAATATTAATAATATTATAACATATCTGCCTTCCTTATTTATGCTCAAGTGCATCCCTTAACTCTTTTAAAGGGAAGAAAGGTTGCTTGTGAAACATGGTCTTCAAATTCACAAATGAAGCTCATTGATATGTATAGTAAAGAGGATCACAATCCTTAAGAAAAAAGTCCAAACAGACCACTGAGATGCCACTGGGGTGAGAATGTAGAATTTTTATTGTAAAAGTTCACATTAGGCAGTTTCCTTTCTGAAATGTTTTTCAAATACATAGACAAGGAGCAGCTGATAATTAAGGATTAGAATATATAATAGATATCATGTTGCCAATACTATGCACACATTGGAAAGCTAGCTTTTTTTAGTGTCTTCATTACAGAACACATTTCAAGTTGACAGTAACAACAGTTTCTCATTTGTCAACAATTTGTCAAATTTGTCAACAACTCTCCCAAAAAGTCAACACATAATATTTTGACAATTTAGAACAAGAAAATAATTCATTCTATGTACATTTGAGGTTAAATACTACAGCACTGATACATTAAAAGTTTGTAAAATTGGCAGCTAAATGTATTTCAAGATTCAACCAGATGACTTGATGATGACTTTACATGGTTTTATATCAACAAAGCCACTCTTTCTTTTCTATTCTTTTTGTATTATCTAGAAAGTTATGCTACCTATGGTTAAGTTCTGACTCATAGAAATGATTGCCATAAAGAATATCTGACAAAAGACTCTGTTTTAGAAAAATAAGGATTCAGGATTAGTACATGAAAATTGGGCTGAACTCATCACATTTCAAGTCTATGGCAATCACTTCATTTGATTACAGTACAGTCTAGTGAGGTCACTATCCTAGGCTTAGTGGCCTCCATGTAAGCCATTCATTTGTTCTTTCAATTTTTGAATTAGTCCTTAGTACATTTTCTCAAAGTACAGAATACTTCATTCTAAACACTAGCCAGGCATGAATCTTGCTTGCGCCCGTCATAAATTCACAACCAGAATTTTGGAAGGGTCAGAACTGACTCATACCCGACCTGGAAAAATAATAAACTCTATGCCCCAGTAGTCATTTCTGTACACAAATATAGGACAGAGATATTATTTTAAAAGAAATACAGATTTTGCCTAAAACATTTTTTTCAAGATGAAAAAATAGCCACAGTTCATTGGATCCGCTGGTTGTTTCTATATGATCAAACATCACTCACTAATGCCACTGTAAATGGGTGGATCCCTCTTTCCAAGGCAAGCACAGAGAGGTTCACTAGAAGCTTATAAGAGCAACTCAACTCAAACTCTACTTACTGAGTACTGTGTGCTAGGCACTGTGCAAGGTGCTGAGAACCCTAAGAAAAATGACAGAGATTCTGCCCACAAGGCACTCACAGTCACTAAAAGCATATCTTGAGATGGAAAATAAGTTCTGTTAAGATCTATCATCCTAAAAGGAAGAAAAAATAGCAGCAAGCACATACCATTATTTGATACTCCACTTAGGAAACTGGGCTTATTTAGAGTTGGCAAGTGTTGATTATTTAGCCTATATTTTACTTAAAGTTGTAAAATGTCAAACATAGAAAAAAAAAAAAAAACCCGAATCTTCATGCATGAGGGAAAAGGCATTGAAAATTCCTCCCTCCAGTTCAAAACCCAAATCTTTGTAGTTACATTTATAATTATTTTAAAACCCAAAGACACAAAATAAAAGACAGTACATTATAATAACTTCAATCCATTTATTTTGGTTCTAAGGAGAGGCATGCATTAAACTTGAAGCATTCTGTGTTACTGAAATATTTACATCATTGTACATGTGATGTGAAGGAAATTTTCTTCCTAACTTGGGAGAAAGGCATAATAGATTTCTATACTATTTTATATTTAAACTGAGTTGTGATTTTTCTTGAATGATGGATGTATTCTATTATGTTCAACTTTATCACAACTTGACCCCAAGTGAACAAATAATATAGTATTGGATGTCTGCATCTAATTGCATTATGAATCAGGTAACAATAGCACTACTACACAAATAGCTAGAGCTTTCATTATATCAATTGCTATACCTGTAAAATAACTTGCTTGGTTTCAATGTTCTTGCCCTCATTCTACTTTGCCTTGTAGGTTCGAGACACAGCACACACTGAAGTTCAGATTACACTAATTAAAGGAGAGTTGAGCACAAACAATACATTATACAACTTATGATGTTATGACATAAAAACAAACTCAGATCATTATTGACTACATAGGGGATCTTTAATGGACTTAGAAAGCACACTTTCTTTCCATGAGATTCAGAGAAGAAGACTCACATCAATAAAACCCATATCTCTTCACAGGTAAAGATAGGAGACCCAGTAAACCAGATTGAACAAGCAGAAGGCGGTGGGGAAGAAGATCCGCGCATACGAGTCCATTTTGGCAATGCGGATGTGTATCCTCCCATGTCTCCAAGCTCCTGTCCGGCAGTCTTCAAAGCAGCAGAAGAAACTGGCACAGTCCTTGCCATCCAGACATTCATAGCCATATTCCTCATCCCTCTCTTGAAGGTGTGTAGCATTGTTCATTTGAATGGTTGCTGATCTTGGACGGATATCAATGGTAGGGGCCTGAGACAAGGGTAGGGAAAGAGAGGATCAAAGTTGGTTATACTTGAAAAATCTTAGAGTCTGTTTTCACAGTGTCACCAATGTGATGATGAATCTGAAAATGGATACTCAGGAAATTGCTATGATGTGATCTACAATGATAGAATTGAACTCAGAAAGATAGCACATTTGCAGATTTCAAGTTTGAGCTTAAGCAGTGCAGCTGAAAATAATATCAAGCTAGTAGCTACAGCAAGAATATTGAACACCAAAAGAACTCAAAGATTAAAGATTTAAATCAAGCTACATGAATCTTGTAGTAATTATTAGATGTGAAGTTGGTTAACATGAAGGCATTTAATGGTACCGCATGTGAGTGAAACAGAAATCAAAAGGCATCTATTTTGCAATCAAATTTTATATCATGCTTATTTATAGGCAAATAGAAAATTTCATTATCACACTGAGCAAATGTGTTAAATGATGTTAATAGAAAATGTTAAAATAGGTATGTAAATATAAACATTAACCTTCTTGAAGTTATATTACAAAGGCTTAAGATTTAGGGGAGTATGATACTCTGCCTAACATTCTCCAACTTTAAACTTAAGAATGGCAGCAAAGTTTACATCCATATATATGAAAATTTCAAAAAAACAAAACAAAACAAAAAAAAATAAGAGCTTATCAAACTCATTTTGGCATTTGAGGAGAAACTAGTACTACTGAGCCACATACTAACCTAACATTTACTTCCAAAGCAATAATAAAATTTCTACAGAACCAAAGGATTTATTTAGTTTTAATTTGCCTGAGTTAGTTTTAGGACAGTATAAAAACAAATCCTCGTTTCTCTTCACCAGCCATCAAAACTAAATAGAAATCTCCTTGCTGTGTTTCATACAGGCAGCAGGCTGGTAATTGCCAACGATGAAAGGACAGAGGGTTCAACTTAGTCTTTTAAAAACAGTATTTTCTTATAAAATTCACAAGTGCAGTTCAGAAAAATGGGGAGTAAATTTACAAAACCATATTTAAAGTATAATTTTCTGAATCAGGATTTACAGAGCTAAATTCAGTTTCAAGTAGTGATAGCCAGTGAAACTGCATCACATTTTAATCTGAAAAGAGAGGCTCCGATTTGACTTTCACATTTAGAGAGGCTTTGGAGCCTGTTTCTGAATCAACTTTAGAAGTTTATAGAACTTTCTCAGTCCTAAACATGTTATCATTAACAGAAAGCTTAAATGTCTACTCATTAAAAAAAAAAAAAAAAAAAAAAAAAAAAACACTATGTAAGCATCAGTACTGAAATTCAGCAGTGGCATGCAGTGAATTCCCATTCCAAAAACATTATACCTTGAAGGAAAACATCCGAAGAAGCTTTGGATTTGTAGACAGAAAAGAGAGTTGCATTGTTTTAATAAAAAAGAAGGAAAAAGGAAACAGAAAAAAAGAGAGACAAAATAAGATAAATTAAAATACATTTTGAAAACGTAGTAATTAAAACAAACTGAAATTATGAACATAGAAGAAAAGCTCTCAACTTATGTAAGGTATATGTTTAAAGCAGGACAATGGCACTTAGAAATTCTGGAGAAATCATCAATAAATTAACCCACAATGCTCTGACGGCAAAACCAATCTTTGTCAATTGTGATTGAACTTGCTTTACCTGTTGTCCCTGTATAAAAAAATAAACCACTGGTTTATTTTCTAATTGTCATCAAGAAGGCTTTAATAACTCAATCTTGACAAAATGAGCCAAGATTTATTACACAGAAAAAATGAAGTTTTAGCTTCTCACTCGCCATTTAAGCTCTCACTACCTTTTATAAATCAATGAATTTGCTTAAATGGAAAAAAAAAATTCTTGTAATTTCATTTTTGCATTTTCTTGAATCCTCTCTCTTATCTTCTTCTTTTCTTCTGTGCTACTTCTATGACCCTGGTTTAAGAAATGCAACTGTTTGTATTTCTATAACAAATCCACTCTGCAATGATATCACCAGTAGAGAAGGCCACAGGACTTTTTCTGAAGAAGGTGTTAGAAGTGGTCTGAAAGCCAGATCTCACACCCGCATTGTGGCTGGGAGATTGTAATGCAGTGTGTCAAAAGAGCCATCTTCTTGGGAGAGAATGAAATGGAAAGTAAAGGAGGAAAAACAAACAAACAAACAAATAACAAAACAGCACAACAGAGAAAATAAAATGAGGATATAAAATATGAAAAGACAGAGAGGCAAACTGACAGGAAAAGGAAGGATGGCATAACGTATAGCAACTATTTGGGGTATGAAAAAGAATCATTTCTACTTTATTAATCACCAAGGATAATATAAGTCTGTATCTCTTACAAAGTCTCATAGCCAATAAACTTGTACCATTTGCAGAATTTCATGTGTGCTTCTGGAGATGCACCATCATGATGTAACCTTGTAACAACTAGATTCCTCCTTTATGTTTCAGGCTGGAATCAGATGGCTTGTTTATGAGTCAGATAGTTTGCCACCATGTGGCTCTCATGTCTTAGGGCAAAATTCAGGCAAGGTTATAAAGCCAGGGTGTGTGGCCACTACCTTACCTTATCTCTAAGAAGGGTCCTGTGAGCCACACGGTGTGATCAGCTGGTTAAATCATAGCTATATGCTGTCTCCAAAATGCACAATGAAAGACAGGTCCTCAGATATTTATATTTGTGTCTCATCCTGCCTGTTAAAGTTTAGTATAAACCAAAGTTGTCCTACCTTTTTCCAAATCATGTAGAAATTGAAAGGAATCTAGGTTTTGAAAACTATAAATTATCATCAGTTGTCATCACCAACTACTAAAGATAAGGACTTTCATGTGATTTTATGATAATATATTTGGTTATTTTTGCTTGTTAACCTCCATTACTACAAGTCTCATAGTAAACTTATAATATTTTTTTACCAATATTCATCTCATTTTATATATAATCAGACAAGATCCAGGGACATTAAGTAACTTCTCCAAACCATAATGAGTCATTCATTTTAAAAACAAAAACACCCACGTTAATACGTATCCAACAGAAGTCCTATAGCAGCAACACACACATACAGACATACACACACATTCATATACATATGCACACATTAAGTTATGTGCCAAAGTATGATTATTCTTTGTCTTCAAGAACCCAAGGCTTCCCAGTCTTGGTTGAAAGTTTTAATTCAAAATATCCATAATTTAAAGTATATTTTAAAGCAAGCTGGACAGAATGATGAAAATCAATGGAATCTGGGATAATAGCAAATAGAATATCAATAAATTCTTCTGCAATAATTTTAACCATCAACAAAATGAAGACAGCAGATAGTTATATTAGGAAAAGGAGTCTAACTTAGAGAACAAGTCTTCTCAAGTTACTGGCAACCATAAATTTATCTTTATAGCATGACAGAAGCTCACTCATTCTGTTTTCATTTTGAAGCCCAAAGTGCTGAGCGTTCGCATACAGATAAGCTAACAAAACTAAACCAAGCCAAACCTATTCTGCACAAAAATCTCAATGGTCCCAGGGGAAATGATACATACAGGGTTTTTCTTCTTTTTGTCTTTGTCCTTGCTGGGTTTCCGATTGCTGACAAAATAGTGCAGGGTCCCATACTCCACCAGAGCAGAAAAGACGAAGATGAAGCAAACAGATACAAAAAGATCCATTGCTGTGACATAGGAGACCTTGGGGAGAGATTTCCGGGCAATGGTACTGAGGGTGGTCATTGTTAGGACAGTGGTGATACCTAAAGAGAGGCACAGGACAACAGATGATGTTATAGCATAAGCCAGTTGATGACTTAGTCACTACTGAAATGAAACTTCTTTTGTGACCTCTGATAATAACCTCAGTAATTGAGAAAGAAGCTGTAACTAGAATTTTCTCTGTACAAATATTGTATCTACTGGCTATCAGTTATGGTGGCAAGCACTGACTATATACTGGTAAATGAACTAAACATGGAAGGCCCAATTTTGGTATTATTGTATAATTCTAAGTTGGCATTTCCTATGGTAAATGGCAGTATCCCTATTCCAGATGTCCACCCATTTGCCAACACCAAGTGTGTGATATATTTCTCCAGGGAAAAAGGGTCACAGAGATGCCATCATTTAATAGCATGCAGTGACTTACTGCTGACTGAGATTCCTAGAAGATAATCAGATTCTCCTGACTCAAAAGGAGTACTGAGCAACTCACAGGGAATCAGATTAAACAGAAAAGCAGGGAGAAACTAGGTAGAAGAAAAGTAGCATCATTCAGGAAAGGAAAAAACAAACAATTTCTCTGTATTATATAGAACACTGGTAGAACATGCTCAGAAGATCAACGAGCAGAAATGAACAGTTGAAGAAGGATTAAGAGAAGGTAAAAACTGGAATATTTCTTTCTAATCTCTCAAGTTATTGTTAGAGCCATTTTTAAAACATTTAACTATGTTTCCAGGAACATGTGGCTCTCTTGGGTCATTTAATCTCAGCTTAACATTCAAGATTTTGTGGTACATATGGTGTCATGAGATCTCACTGATGGGGGAAAATGGGTGTTAGATGAAAAAACTTCACAGGAACGAACAGGCTTTAGAAAAGAAGAGGAGTAATGAAGGGAAGTATACTAATAAATGCCAATGACCTTACAATGGATTGTCTAATGATCCATCTCTCTTTCTATTTTGTATTTTTTGTGACTACAGGCATGTGTTATTTCATGGCCATTGTAAATTCACAGTTGAGCATAGTTCTGGATTTCAGTACATATTTGTTCAAATAAAATCTGATTAAAGAATCAATGAATAGTATATATGTGAATGATCCAAGAGGCTCACCCTTCACTTGAGAACAGAAATTCATGTTTATATGTACGAGATAGTTTAACAGCTCTTGCCCAGATATGACATCCAGTACTTTACATATTGTCCAACAAAGCCTTTACCATCTCCCTATGAGGAACCTTATAACTGTTATTCTTGCTTTTCCTTTTCTTTTCACATGCAAAGCACTGAACAATGAAAGAAGAAGAATTTGTCCATGGTAGTGTTAGTGATGAGGTAGAAATATAAGCAGCCTGACATCAAATGCTGAACTTCAAACCACACTGCTTTATTTCTGTAACTATATGAAAATGCACCAATAATATGCAGTAATATGCAGTTTGAAGCACCAGGCAGTTGGGAGATACTATAAACCACAGGTGAGATTTGGAGGATTGATGTGGGTCTGAGGGTCTTCTGTGTATTGGCAGGTAGTAAACCCTTTATTAGAGGATCCTAATGGAAGGAAGTTGTGCTCCTGGCATGGATCTCATGGACTATGAGCAATACAGGATGCCAGGATTTAATAAAGTCTCAATAAAAGTTAAGAATTGGTATCATTTATTTTAAGGAATAAAGTTCTCTGTCTTAAATTTAAAAGGTTTAATTAGGTTGTCTAAATATTACCTCAAATCAGAGTTCTTCATTATACCTAATTATAGCTGTTTTTATAAAAAAAAAATTAAACACTAACTTGAAACCATGACCTTTATTTCACCATCAGGCTTCAAGCCAGACTTTATCTATGATGCTTGAAAATGCCTGTACTTAACAGTGGGTAATACAGATGATTTCATTTTAGAAAGCCTGGCATGCTATAGTTTAAGCAAACAAATTCTGGCACATAAATGGTATACTCATTTTGACTACATAGAAGTTTATCACAGCCGTATAATGTGTAATTTTAAATAATTAGTTCATAATATTTTCAGGATGCTGTTTGGAGCCACAGGGAATAGAATTACTATGGGATTGAGAGTAAGTAGAGAAGTCATAGTTTTATCTGATTCACTAAACTAAAAAAATTGAAGCCTTATTATTTTTTTTAAATCTAGTTTTACTGCACAAATAGACTCTACTTTTCTTATTTGAGGTAGATGGAAACTATAACTTTTACCACGAAAATAAGCTTTGCAGGGATGTTGCCTCACATCTTATTACTTGGGTAAAAAGCACTCATTTTTGTTTTCATGCATCATCACTGAAGTATGTTACCATCACTAGCTACCATCTGTGTACCAAACTACATGCAGACCTTATCAGCTTTGGGATGACTGTTCCTCATGTGTGCTCAGAAAACAGCTGGTGTTTGTGCAGTGGGGGCCTATTTAGCTTGCTCATCAGACAAGGTGGGTCTAGCTATTCTTTAGAAACAAACTTAAAATGTGCAGGCACTCAAAACCATCTCCTCTAACTCTTGAATGTAAACACCTAGAAAGATAATGGAACTCAGTGAAAGCTAGTGCAGCATTCTACAAAGTGACTAAGCATGAGAACTATCATTCAAAAAAATTAACACCCAGGCCATGCCTTTGACAATTTAAATAAGAATCTATTAGGTTTCTTTTAATAGCAAAGTGCTAAGCCTTAATAAGAACACTTTCAAAATTGTTCTTTATTGAGCATCCCTGAGTTGTAAATAATCAAGCAAAAGGAGTACCTACATGGTATTCAGGAGTCTCTCCTTCATCCTTTAACTCACCTTGATCCTTTCCTCCAACATAATCTTTTTGCCAGTGGACAATTATTAGTATCTGATTATTTATTTATTGAATGAGCTACCTACATGCTCATATGACGGTTTTGGCAGCAGGAGTCGAGGCTTCTAGAGAAGAGATTAAAATCTTTTCTTTAAAATGCTTTTTGGGAACAAGGTTGACTGGAATATATTGATTTATTTTTCTATGTATTCATAAGCATATACATCAATTAAAAAATCATCAGAGCACCAGCTATGTGGCATGCACTATGCTGGAAATGAAAACCATCTATATTCTGACTTGAGAGATGGATAAATAAGCCTCTAATGCCACACACTCTACTCACTAGTCACAAGAAGCAGGCCTCAGTATTAGGCTCAGTATATTTTGAGGTTGCTTTGTCATGTAGCATTAGACATTTGAATTGCTGAACAGGACTTGTAACACAAAGTACTGTGTATAACAGGAAAAATTAAAATAACTTCATTGTGAAACAGATGGGAAACTAAATTAGGTTTGGAAGAGGACAGATATGCAAAAGATGCCTTCTCCAGTATCATTTCTGCCCTCAGTTTAATGACCTAGTACAATTTATTTTATCAGAAAAAGACTATAGGAGCTATCATTTCTGAAGCTTTGCTCTTTTCGATGTGCTTTGAATAGGGTAACTTTAAGCAAACACTGCAAATAAAATACAGAAAATGAAAACACATTTTACAAGAGGAAACTTGAGATTTCTAGAAAGTAGAAATGGACATTCCAATGTCACACTTTATGTGTGACTCAAATTTCAGATTTGTTAAACTTCAAAACCAAGCTTGGCAACAATTGCACAATTACGTGATTCTACTTTGTGTGTTCTAAGAATCAACAGTGAATAAAGGGGATTGTGGTATAATAATCCATCTTTTCCTTGCTTTATACTTAGTCTTTAGAATTTTGTGTAATATTCTAGACTGTAGAATTACCTAGACTGTAATGTCCCTGGGAGTCTGTTTTATTCTATGTGAGACTTCTTCAGCGTGCAGGAAATGTAGTTTTGGATGGTGAAGAAAAGATGTGAAAATACAAAATTATTATTATTATCTACAGTACACTAAACAAACATCAAGTAATGTGAAAAGCAGTTTTGTTCCTAAAATTTTATAGGTAAATGTATTTTTTTAAATATTGTTTTCCCTGGCTTTATTAAAGAACTGATTACTTATAATGTCATCAAAATAATTATGCACATTGCAATTAACCAGTGTACTGTTGTGTGTTAGGAAATGCATAGTAATTGGCAAAAGAAAACATAATAGCTTGATTTTTAGTGTTTGGATGTTTACAATGTTAATACTAGGCTGACTCCTAGCTATCTATGCAACATAACTAAACGCAGAACTAGGGAAGGATAAGCAGTTAGTTCTCGTGAGCTGGTAGGAACAAGTTCAGCATGTTAGTCAACAAAGACTGAAACAAAATTCTAGTGACATTAGGTTTTAACTTTAACAAAAGTAAATTTATTTTAAAATGTGCCAAAGAAAACCTACTGATGTAAATATGGAAAATAGAACTGCAGAACGAAGAAGGATTAAGACTGGCCTTAAAAATATGCTAGCTTTTTTTAAAATACAACACATAAACTGTGAAATTACAGACTGAATTTAAAGCACATTGATTGAGGAGGGGAAATAAAGAGTTTTTGTAGATGGTACTTACCTAGGGATACCCCAACACAAAGAAATGAATCTCACCTAAAGACGTTCTGGCTGGAACAGCATCCTTATTGATCCAGAAAGACACCCAAGACAGGACCACAATCAGCGTGCAGGGAATGTAGGTTTGGATGGTAAAGTAGCCCATTCTTCTACTCAGGTCAAAGTATACTGACATGACCACATAGTCCCCTGTGAAAGAACAAAGCACTTTCCAGGCTCATATCAAAACATGATGTGTTTAAAAACAAGTGTGTATTCAGCTCTCCTGCACACACATTTACATGGAGACTTTTAGATATGTGATATGTTGAAAACTCTTCTAAATGCTTGAAGGTAAAGTATATTTAATCAAAAGATAATGTCTCTCCTTAATTGAGTCCTGGTTTTAGAAACAATATAATTACTATAGATAGAAATATGTTTTAATATGTTGATTATATTTTCTTCTGTCAGATGACTATGTTGACTTCTCTTCATAATTGACACTCAGTGAGGGGATTTTTGTTTTGTTGTGTTTTATTTTTTGGTGGGTAAATTTCTTCTATAGGTGTTTACCTTGCTTGCCATGTGGTCTACATTTTTTAGGCATTATATGTTATGAAACTTTGTAAGAGAGAGATATCTTGTTGCTTGACGTGGATAAATGAAAATTTTACTCAGCATTTATTAAGACATTTTTCATGTTTTACTGAATCATACTTTATAGCAATTACTTAATAATATCCGTCTCTCATACTGACGTTATCTGTATATGTCAACTCAATTTATGTTACCATGGCACATTTGAAATGCAAGGTCTTTCTTTATTCCAAATAGGTATGGGTAAATTAACACCTGCAAAAACGGATCTCAAAATTTAAATTTAAAATCTACAAATCCAGGGCTGGGGATTTAGCTCAGCAGCACAGTGCTTGCCTGGCAAGTCCAAAGTTGTGAATTCAATTCCAAGTACAAAACAAACAAACAAAAACACAAAAAAAACCCACCCTGCAAATCCATAAACTATATTAAGAAACATTTGACAAAACAAAGAAATGCATATAAATAATGCACTACAGAAATAATCCCTGTAAGTACCACTTTAACATGTAAATAATAGAGAATATACTACTAAATATATATATATATATATATATATATATATATATGGCTGGGGATTTAGCTCAATGGCATAAGTGCCTGCTTGGCAAGCACAAGGTCATGAGTTCAATCCCTGGTACCACAGACAAAACAAAACAAAACAAAGCAAAAGCACTATAAAATCAAAGAATGGTCACAGAGGAATGCATGAAAATAATTTATGTAAAAAATGGGAGTCTTTGATTTTCCTATAACTGTGATGTATAAACAATTTTTAAAAGACTATCTTATCAAGAATCAGCAAATGGAATCACATCAAACTAAATAGAGTCTATACAACAAAGGAAACCACCAAGAGTTAAACGAACCTACAGAATGGGAAAAATTTTTTCCAAGTTACTCCTCAAAACTCCATCTCCAGGGCTGGGAATACATCTCAGTGGTATAAGCACCTACCTAGTAATCATAAGATTCCTAGTCCGATTCCCAGTTACCCCCACCAAATCCATCTCCATTATTTTGTAGAATGCTAAATAAAATGTAAACGTTTTAACTTTTGCAAAATATAGTATGGATTCATATGCACAATAAGTTACTATACATTTACACTTTGTATATTCACATAAAGAATATCACTTGCAGTAACCATATCAGGGCCCACAATGAGAGATGAATACATGGTACCTCTTTTCAAATGTTGCTTCTTTTTTTTTTAATAAACAATGTTTAGTTTTGAAATATATCAATAACAAAATTGAAAGCATATTTTAACTTACCTATGTGGCTTTATACCTGTGTTTCTCTACTTGGCTCCTTTAATCTAATTTGAAAATAAAATATCCTTAGAAGTCTCCTGAGGAGGGAGTTGACCAGAGTAGGCTATTACCTCTCAGTCTAGCTCCTGCCAGTAGCTTTACCTCATAACCTTCCAAGCTGCTGAGATAAAACATTCCTCATGGATTACCCTTCAGGGACCAAAGCTGTAAGATTTTCTCAGCAGGGTTTTCAGTACTATTTGGCATTGCGTTTTGGACAGTTCCCTTACAGTTACTAGTTTAAGCCTGATGATTCATCATCAAGTGAGACATTAGGCTTCCAGTAACACATCAGTGCCCACACAGAAATCAGTGAGCAATTGTGGTCAAATAATTGAAGGTTGAAATCTTTTACTACTAATGTCTAAAGTTTACATAATTCCTTGACATTATGCTGCACTGTTATCTGAATAGAAAGCCATTTATGATAAAATTTAATAATAAATTAGTTTGGCCTCTGGTTTTGTTCCAACTTCAAATATAATAGCCAGAGACTGGGACTGAGGAGTAAAATTACTTCATTGAACTTTGCTAACATCTATCTTTTTTTCACTGATCAGGACTCCTAGAAGCAAATACAAGCTCTTTGCTTCTATGTGTGAAACACAAAGAGCCATTTCTTTTGAAATAATTATATCTAAGGTAATTTTTCCTATTTTTATGTCCTCAAAATTACACCATATTTTAAATGTGTTAAAAGATACAAATGGTAATACTTTGAATACTGTGAAGTCTCCCACTTTTAGTAATTTCTTTCCTCCTTTTCATCACTGAATGAGAATTGGCACTTGCATATTAATGATCTGACTCTTGAAAGGTGAACTTTAATTCTGTCCATTGTTAACAAGGTAATTATCTCAACTCAAGTCTCCATTTCCCTTTAGGCCAGGACCTAAGCTTCTAGGGACAATTTCTCTATCAATTTCTATTACAAGCTTCTGAGCATCTTTCATCTTGACCAGTAAATCTAAAACTTTCGGACCAGTGGATTGGATTCAAACTTGGGTACAAGCTATTTAGAAGCAAAGCAGCTTCACAGTGACCGCCTGATTCCTGTCTTAGCTCCAAAGCCATGCCACGTTTTGTATTTTTAAAAACTGTTGGGTTGAGGAGGCTAGAAAATCAAATCCCTTTAAAGTGCTGCCCCAGTGATTTCCCAAGTCAAAAAGGTGTAAATGCCAACCAAGTTAAGGTGGTTATTTAAGCCTCTTCCCACTTAGGCTTTCCAATTATTTATCCTACTATACAATGATTACCATCATAATATTTAAAAGAATAATATTTCCCCTGCTTTGATCCAAACCTAATATATACAAACAGACTGCGACTAAAGAGAGGAAACATATACTCTGAAAGAGCAACCACAGTGTCCATCCTTTTCCTTTTTTAGAAAGCAAATATCAATGTCAATAAATATGAAGCTAAAAAAATAAAAATAAATAAACACGAAGCTGTAATTATTTTTAGCTGTGGTCTTAAAAATCATATTGCAGCATGAAAATCAATATTTATAAAATAGCTTCTTATTTCATACGTGAAAATATCTCCTCTCAAAAAATTAACTGTTTATTGATAGATTACTCTTTGCTTTTACTGAACCCTTAAAATAATAAAAATACTTATTTTCTAGTCACCAGTAATGAGAGACTACTATATACAAATTCTGGGTTGAATGGTTGGCACATATTGCCTTAAAATATCCTAAACAAGGAAACACTAAATCTGAAATATATCTTCACTTTGTTGTTCGTTGATAATCGTTTCTCATCTTAAATATAGAATGTATCTTATTTTACTAGGTTAACTGTGAAATCACAGTGTAATGCTCTAAATTATATATTTTCTTCATTATTTAAATCAACAAATATTTTTAATCACTGCTAAGAGGTGAGCACTGTAATAGGTAATTTGAAGATCAAGACCTATGGGATCTTACAATTGATTTCAAATTAAATTCCAAATTAAATGGGTTAAACAGGAGCCAGATTATTGTCTGCCTACAACCCAGGTAGAGATGTCTCTAGCTATCTGCCTTGACTAGGTATCTGCTTTGACTATTCCTCATTGAGTACTTGAATTTAACCCATATCCAGGGGGTTAATTTTGACCTATGGTAAGCAGGAGAATTGACTGGCTAAATTTCATATTGAGAAAATATTTTCTGAAATTAAATCTATACTTCACCTTAACACACAAAATAAATTTAAAATGTACCAAAGATGAATATGAGTGAATATAAATACTACATATGGACAATGTAGAATGTCTTTATAACATTTGCATTAAAAAGACTATCAAGCACCAATCATATAAACATAAAATATATAAAGACAAAAATTGAACATTTGCTGTGTAAAACTTAGAACTCTCATATTAAAGAATGTTATAACTAATTTTAAAAGAAAAACTGCAACACTTTAACAGAATATTTTCAAAATGAAAAAATTAAGGGGTAATATTGATATGGAAATAACCTTCATTCATTAAAACAAGAAACTTAAATATTTAAACTGAAATAACAAATGGAAAATGCATAGATACTAAATATATAAACAATATTTTCAAATTCAGTAGTGATCACTACATGCAGCATAAAATAATGTTTTATTTTAACTTGTTAGCTTGGGGAAAAATCAACTGATCACTGGCTTGCCTTGCAAGCCTGAGGTCTGGAGTTTTATTTCCGGTACACCCACCCTCATACCCCATATAAAAGAAAAAGAAACTGATCAGTACTAACAATATCTGAACCATGACACAGCTACACATGTTTGGGGACTGGCGGGCACACACAAATACAAACTTTTAGAAGATAATGTGAAAGTATATTAAAACATACCGTTTAAGATTTCTGAAATAAATATTGCTAAATATGGCTTTTCAAATATTGTCTTTCAGTTATCTCCAATATTTTTTTCTGAAGGTTCCCTGAGTTCCAGAAGTATGAGGGAAGTCCAAGTCCTTGAGCACAACCCCAGACCCTGACTTTTACCCATCCAGAATATAGTTGGAGAGAAACACCTACCAAATACAGAATTATCTGCATTTTACCTCCAAGAAAGATTGCGGCAATCACCTGATCAGCATGTCTGAGTATAGTCAGCACTGTGAGAATCGCTCAGACAGCTGCAAAGCTCAGGGACATCTAAGACACCTCAGGGCATGACAGATTATCCTATACAGGTGCACAACAGGATGCAGCTAGGTAACAACGACAGCACAGGCAAACATGCATGCACTGGTGATGGCACTGTGTAAGAATGTAAACATGAAATAACAGCCTGTATATGAATT